GGACCCAAGAGACCCTTTCCTTCCACCCGATCCACACTCAGTGCTCCCCTAAAGGAGAAAGGCGAGACGTGGCAGGTAGAAAGAGCTGGATTATCTGGCGGCAGCAGCAGCACCAGATCTACTGCCAGCACTGCGGCTGTAGTCGCCTTCACAGGTTTGGCTCGCTCCAGCGCCCCCCTACCGCCCTCTTCTCTTCTTTTGCCCCCACACCGCCCCTTTTCGTTCCACCGCCCCCCTGAAAAATGAAATCGACCCCTGGGGGGCATTATTGCCCACGTTAAGAACCACTGATCTAGTCCATCTTTCTGTATGATATGTTCTACATACGGGTAGAACAGATAGGGAGATAATATACACCTTGTCTGACACCTTTGTCTATAGAAAACCACTCTGTTTCTCCACATTCCGTCCTAACAGTAATTTCTTTTCCACAATACAGGTTATGTATGCATCAGGGCAATCAAGTGCTGAGGCACACCCATTTCTTTCAGAACAACCCATAACATATCATAATCCAAATAGTCAAAAACTTTGCTATATACTTTAATAAGCATAAACGGATTCTTCTGAAATTCTTTGGTGTGCTCCAGTAGCCAGTGTATATTTGCAATATGATCTTAAGTGCCTCTTCATTTTTGGAATTCAGTTTGAATATTAAGCATTTCTTGCTCTGTATAAGATAAAAACCTTTGTTGCAACATCTTTAGTATCATAGATTTCAGTAGGTTAAAAAAACAGAGCTATCATTATATTTGTAAAAAATGGCTTCTCTGAATTCTGGTCTTTTAGTGACCTTGTAACCTAGTTTTACACCACATGAGAACGGAGGACTCCACAGTGTTGAGGTAACTGCCAAGGGTCTTCTTCCATGTTTTCCTTGGTCTTATCCAGTGCCTTGATTGTGTCGAAAGCAAAATGCTCTCAGAAGAATGCTGGAATCCAGATCATAAAGCACTTTACATGATATTGCCAGCATCATAAATTTGGCCCAAGAGCAGGGTGGGAAAAAGTTACCCATGATGGCTCTGGCATTTCTAGAGCTGTAGTAAAAACACAAAGGGGTGGGGAGCTGCATGTGAAAACGCAGGATAGAAGCATTTAACATGCCCCCTCCAGCAGCTGCCCACTCAGATTTGAAGGCAGGGCACGGATTTCTGCAGTGCTGCCTATGAATTGGCAGCTGCTGGAGGGGGCAGAGAAGGGATGTCCATGTTCCTGCTGGAATGGAAGATCATGTTATGGGGAGGGAAGGAGCAGTGCACACGGGCAGGTCAGTGAGGGAGCCGGCCAGGGATGGGGTGGGGAAAGTGAACACATGGCACCTGTGGTGCCACACTAACAACTTAAATAACACGGCACGAAGTGCTTCATGCCCATCCCTAATTGGGTGCTCTTAGGTGCATGAGAGAATACTGTCAGTCATGTTGAAATGCAATTCATTTATCAGTTAGCAGGTGCTATCTTTGTCCTTGTCTAAGACAGCAAAATGTTGTGAATCAGCCCTGGCTGCAGATTCTCTGAGCATAGTTGGGACCATATGGACGGAGATTGAAGGCTTGGCTACATGGCTTGGCTGGAGTAGGCTGGTATGGATGAAACAGGGTCGCTAGGAGGTCTGGGATGACATTTGATGCAATCTGAATTGGACAGAGTCCTGAGCAGATCTTTAAGAGAAAAGCAAACAGAAATGCCTCTCATTGCTCCCTTCTGTCTCCTCCAGCTTCTGAGAAGAAGTATTCTGTTTATCTTTTATTTTTTTAAAGTGACATAGTGCATATGCACTGCCCTAATATATTGTTTCCCCCACTTCCTCAGCAACTCCACGAAGCTAAGGAAGTGTTTAATTTGCCAATATCCTGAAGTGGCTTTCTTTTTAAGCCACTTCAAAATATTAGCAAAATGGCAACAAAAAGGCTCACTTTTGTTTCATTTCTAGCTATCTCACACACTGGAAGTGGACCAAAACAGAGTGATCTTACCCAAACAAAAAAAGGGAGAAACCCTTGACAGGGGCTGGAAAAGTGTAGGTAAGAAAGGGCAAAGATACTGTATCTTCTGATTGCCATCTTCAGGAATGAACTCGTCTGTCCCTGTAGTGGACCAAACAGCAGGCTAAATGTCCATGTAGTCACCCTCTGAATTGCACAGTCCTTCTATGCAAAGTGCTTTGACACTAACGACGCAGTATATACATCCAAATAAATAAATAAATAAATAAATAAATAAATAAATAAATAAATAAATAAATAAATAAATAAATAAAGTTAACCTCAGAACATAAGCTGGTAACTTAGAAAAATGTACTTTTTTGAATTAACAACTCCCAGAAGTCCTCTACTCACCCACTGAGAGCTATAATCCAGAACAAGGACCCTTTTCAAGTGCCATTGGTGCCATTGTGTCTTTAAAAAGGCTCAGGGTTGCAAGTTTGAATGTTTGTGATTGTTTTCAGTGCAGCAGAATGTTCCAATGAAACTCTGCAGTGTCTTTGTTTAGTGAGGGCTGACGTAGGGCCTACCAGAGAGATATACTGGACAAAGTGCTTCACTACACTTGATACTCCCTGAGATATCAGTGACATAATTTGAAGAAGGTATTCATTGGACCTGTGCCCGGGGGTGGGGAGGGAATTGCCCACAATGGATGACTATCACATTATATTGCCTCCAGCAACTTCTCTTGGGAAGGGCTCAGGTGGACAGAGGAACTGAGGGGTCTGTGAAACTATTCAATACAGGTCTTTGTTTTTGGTGGGAAATTATGGGATGGAGTACATAACCCCCCCCTTTTGCCCTAGGAAAAGTGTTCTGACTAGAAGATGAAACTCTTTTTTTAAAAAAAAGCCTACAGTTTCATTGCTGAAGAGAGGAACTGTTTGGAGAGCAACATGAAACTTTCTTTTTAAAGGCCAGTAAATTTGTTACCAGCTGCCAACTGCAAACAAGTCCATCTACTGTTGAAGCCAGCTAGCTCTTTGCCTTCGTCTTTTATTCAGCTATTCCAGCTCTCTGAAAATATTTATTTACTGAGAGACATCAGGCTAGCTCTATGAATCCAGGCCTCAGTCGGAAGAAGTCCTTATTTTCGATTTTGAATCTCCCATCTTTCATTTTTGGTGGATAATGCTGTAGTCTTGTCGGAGATAGGTACAAAGGCTTCTCCTTACCCCCTATCTCCGGACCATACGTAATGTTATCCAGTGCAACTATAGTTTTATGATTTGATGCACTGCTTGCCTGCCATTTCTCTAAGACAAAAGCTCCAAACATCGTAACCTTTCCTCTTAGAGATATTGCTCCAGCCCTTGATCATTTGGTTTCCCCTTTGTAGCAACCATCTTGTTCTACAGTAGTCTTTTAAAGGACTGTGGTTAGCTGATGTCATTTACTGGCTAGGAACAATGTTATGAATGTTGTGAAGAATCAAAGGGAATTGATCTGCTTGGTGCATCTTTAAGGGAGAGCTATGAGCAATAGCTTGTCCTTTCAGGGTACTCTTCTGCTTGGGAAAGTTACTTTTTTTTGGATTACAGCCTGCAGTTTTCCATGCTGGCTTGCTAGTCTAAGGAGTTGTAGTTTCAAACAAGATAATAATGGAAAAGACAATAATGCTAGAAAGAACAGAAGGCAACAGGAAAAGATCAAGACCAAATATGTGATGGGTTGACTCCCTAAACGAAGCCACAGGCTTGAGTATGCAAGAGCTAAGCAGGACTGTGAGGACCGGATATTTTGGAGAGAACTCATTCATAGGGTTGCCATAAGTCAGAGGAAACTTGATGACACCTGACAAGTTTGAAACAGAAACTTTTCTACATTTTTGTTCTTATCCTCTTTTGCTATGGAAGTAAAGAACCAATTTGTGTTTTTGTTTTCCTTAGGGCACCAATGCCTCTGCTCTGGAAAAAGACATTGGGCCAGAGCAATTTCCACTCAATGAACACTATTTTGGACTGGTCAATGTAAGTATTACTGTTCTGTTCTAGAGATGTTGTTGACAGAGGAAAGTATATGTGTAGAGCTACTAGGTTACAACCCAGAAAACAGTTTAAAGATGAAGCAAGGGGGATCTACAGCAGATCAGGGGACTATGGGGGAAAGCAGCAGATAGACAAGATCTAGGGCAGGGGTAGGGTAACTGTGGCCATTGAGATATTGATCCCTCTGTGGTGAGGATTGGTGAGAATAGCTATTGACAACCTCTGAGATACATAACAAGACAGTTAGAACAGAAGGAAAAGAACAGGAAAAGACTACTTCTGGGAGTAATGTCAATCCCAAGGAACTCTAGACAAAACAATCTTCTTCCTGAAACTCCAGAGAGCAGCTACCAGTCAGTGTCAATGATACTGGGATAGATATGTCAGGTATGTATCTGTGTATGCACTGCCAAGTCAGTTCTGACTTACGGCAATCCCTTTTCAGGGTTTTCTAGTGTTTACCCTTCCCTTCTTCTGGGGGCATCCTGGGCCTGTGCAGCTTGCCCAAGGCCACACAGGTTGGTGCTTTTGGAATACACAATAGAGAATTGAACACCCAACCTCTGGCTCTGCAGCCAGATGTTTATCCTACTGAGCTGTCCAGCCAGCTAGATAGATCTGAAGACATCCTTGATGCAGCCCGGTTTGCAAGTTATATTCGATATGCATTTGAAATCTCTTATGGCACCCCTCACCCACAAGGAGCAGCTTGAACCGTGGCTCAACTACAGAAGGGTCGGCCAGATCAGGTGGAGGAGCATGACCTGATGTTGTATACCAACTGGGCCCTGGTGTTATGCCAGAAGTTAACATATGCAATCTTATATAAATCACAGTCTTCCTTTGTGACGATGCATCTTTTTAAAATTATGTTTAAGTAGCAACCCTACACAAACACACACTCAAATCACGGACCCACGTGAGACCTGTGTAGGGGTACAAGTCGTGCATCTCTGCCTTAAAAAGAAACTAATCTTGCCTGGAGCCTCAGTCAAAGCCTGTCAGCCAGGGATCCCTGCAGTAGGATGGCCTCCAGAGACAGTATCAGAGACAGATCTCTCTACCTCCCCATCCCATCCCAGTAAATGTTGCAAGGGTGTCACACAGCCATGATTCTATTCCAATCTTTGAAGTTGGAGACATGCTAGTACTAGCAGCCGCTTACATATCAATAGGAATCAGGCAATACACCACCCCAAAAGAAGCCATCAATTTACCTAAAATTGCATATCCTCGTTTGTACACAGAACATATAATATGGACTAGATTCAGATGAAGGAGAAGTGAAAATTGGTGGAAGAAACATCACTAATTTGAGACAGGCAGATGAAACTGTCTTACTGGCAAAAAGCAGCAATAACCTGAAACAATGTTTAGTGGAAATGAAAGAAGAAAGTGCCAAAGCAGGACTGCAGTTGAACATTAAGACAAAAAACAGGACTACAGAAGAACTACATAACTTTAATGTTGACAATTCAATCATCAATCCAAATGCAGACTGCAGCTAAGAAATTAGAAGAAGACTGAGACTTGGAAGGGCAGCAATGCAGGAATTAGGAAAGATAATCAAGTGTAAGGATGTGTCCTTGGAGACCAAGAATAAGATCATTAACATTTGTATTCCCTATTACTATGTATGGATGTGAAAGCTTGGTCATGAAGAAAACTGACAGGGAAAAATGGATTCATTTGAAATATGATGGTGGAGGAGACCTTTGCAGATACCCTGGAGTGCCAGAAAGATGAGCAAGTAGGTCCTTTAGCAAATCAGTGTAAGGATGTGTCCTTGGAGACCAAGAATAAGATCATTAACATTTGTATTCCCTATTACTATGTATGGATGTGAAAGCTTGGTCATGAAGAAAACTGACAGGGAAAAATGGATTCATTTGAAATATGATGGTGGAGGAGACCTTTGCAGATACCCTGGAGTGCCAGAAAGATGAGCAAGTAGGTCCTTTAGCAAATCAAGTCTGAACTATCTCCAGAGGAAAAAATGACAAAACTGAAGCTGTCCTACTTTAGGCACATGAGGAGAAGGTAAGATTTCCTGAAAAAGACAAAAATGTTGGGAAAAGTTGAAAGCAACAGGAAAAGAGGAAGACCAAATACATGATGAATTCATTCCATAAGATGAGCAAGTAGGTCCTTTAGCAAATCAAGCCTGAACTATCTCCAGAGGCAAAAATGACAAAACTGAAGCTGTCCTACTTTAGGCACATGATGAGAAGGTAAGATTTCCTGAAAAAGGAAGCCACACCCTTGAGTTTAGAAGAGCTGAGCAAGCTGTTGAGGCCGGGATATTTTGAAGGTTACTCATTTATAGGGTCATCATAAATTGGAGGCAAATTGGTAGAACATAATGACAACAACATTTATATCTACAGATACAATACACACGCGCGCACACACAGACACACACACACACATTTGGTCATTTAAGCAAAATTACACTAGCTGAGTACCTTCCAAGTACTAAGTTGTACTGACTGAACTGGTCAATTGTTATCATCTTGATTGTACTGTCAATGGAATGGTGTCAGAGGAGTTCCAGAGAGTTCTGAAGAAGGAAAGGAGATCCATATGTAAAGCAGACATTATGCCTTACCACAAAAACCTCTTAAAACTGAAAAGGGAAATCACTGATGAAAGGCTTCCTGGATCACAACCAATATATTTTGATGAGTTGCTTTTAACTTCAGGTTTTGGAGCTGCTGGAATAGAAACACAATTTTAAAAAGCACGCAATGCTGAGTGCTGAAACAGAGTTGGCGAAGTCGGTTTAGCATTAGGTAATTTTTATTCCTAGCTAAAGAATAAAACTCTAGCTCCACATAGAAACCTTTACTTTGACCTATATACAGTAAGGATTTACATCTTGTTGCTGTGTAGTGGTAACTTAACAAAAAGCAGAAAATGTGGACACAAGAGAGATTGATTAAATGAGTGTTGCTGTCGGTCTCCCTGTTCTGATTTTGCAGTTCGGGAACACATGCTACTGTAACTCCGTCCTGCAAGCCCTGTACTTCTGTCGGCCATTCCGGGAGAATGTTCTGGCATACAAGGCCCAGCAGAAAAAGAAGGAAAATCTCCTCACTTGCCTAGCAGATCTGTTCCATAGTATTGCTACTCAGAAGAAGAAAGTTGGGGTGATTCCACCAAAAAAATTCATCTCTCGGTTGCGAAAGGAGAATGGTAAGTGCTGCCTTAAACATCATTGTAGAAAGAGAAGGAAAATGACAGGAGGAAGAAGAGATGAATGACCTCCACGTCACACCTGGGCAGTCCCTGGCTGCCTCTCCTGCTTGGCTCTCGACATCACTTACAAAAGGGATGAGAAACATCCTTGAGAGAGCAGTGCAGCCGTGCTCTTTGTTGTGCAGGAGAGTGCTCGAGTGCTCACCTGTACCATAGAGTGGCTCTTCCCATGTGCCAGAGCATCCCTTCTGGGAAGAAAATGGGGTTTGGGGGCAGGACTGTGCCTTTCACAGGAGCAGCAGTGGTACCGATGGCAACAACAACGGGAAGTAGGATCAACGGGGACCTAAGCAAGGTGAAGATCAACTATTTCTTTAAGTAGCTGCCAACTTTCCCTCCCATTCTATGCTACTGAGGTGAGGAGTGGCAGATATCCCGGTTTATACTCTTTCTCTCTGGGAGGCATGGTGTGGGATGCCATACTGCCTAGAGAAATAGGGATGCAACCAAGGGGATGCAGTGTTTATCCTGTAGGCTTCCATCTCCTCCATCATTTACTCTGTCTAGAGAGTTCTGCTGGGCCCAGATCCACCTCATCTCACCCTTCAACCTGAGCAGCTTGCTGAGATAGAAACTATTGGCATTTCTTTTTGGTCTCTTGCTTGCTTGCTTTTCCTCTCTGGGTGCAGAGACTTTCCTCTCTGGCAGGTCCTATCCCTATCACAGCCTCTGTCGGAGGCTCTCAGAGAGCAGGGTTGAAACTGAGGGCAGCAGAGACTACTCCTTGCAACCAGTGCTCATTAACTTACATTCATAGGTAAGCAAGTGGCAGTTGCCTGAAGCTACCTGTCTTCTGATTTTGGGTAGGAAAGGAAGGAGATTGGAAGGAGAAAAGAGACTCTCAGGTTCCTGAACTTTGGAGGGCCAAGCACTCATCCATGTACCCTGACACTTCACTTTGTCAAGCTTTTAAAAAAAGACCCTTATACTTTCAAGGAGTCTCAGGCACAAATTCCTCCCATTATTCCCTCTGTCTGTATCAGACCAGGGGGCGGGGTTGGTATTCTCAAAACTAAAAGTGACCAGGGCTCACTTCAGGTGTTGAAAAAACAGGCCAGAAGGGCTGGAGCATTGCTGTCTGTGAAAAACTCTTACTTGGGGCCTGTAGGATATGCATGAGGCCTTGGACTGCACTTTTGCACGCACACGCTCTCGCTCTTGTTCGCTCTTTCTCTCTCTCTCTCTCTCTCTCTCTCTCTCCCCTCCCTCCGCCCAAGGGTGCTAGCAGCTGTCCAGTGGTGTTGATATCTGATTTTGTAAGCCAGAAAAAAAATATATGCCCTTCTCCTCTTCCAGATCTTTTTGACAACTACATGCAGCAGGACGCCCATGAGTTTTTGAACTACTTACTGAACACCGTTGCTGACATTCTGCAGGAGGAGAAGAAGCAGGAGAAGCAAAATGGCAGATTGAGAAATGGCAACATGAATGAAGCAGAAGAGAACAATAAACAAGAACTCACCTGGGTGCACGAGATTTTTCAGGGAACGCTGACTAATGAAACAAGATGTTTGAACTGTGAAACTGTAAGCACTGGGCTGGGTGCTATGCTATGGTGTCCATGATGTGTCTACGGGAATAGCTGGGCCTGGGGGATACAGTGCCTTTAGATGTTGCTTGTCTTCTGATGGGTTAGCCCCTGCTTCATCAACATCTGGTTGGCCACTGATGTCCCATTCTTACTATAGAAGTTGGTAGAAATATGCAGATTTATGAATGAAAATATAATGAATACTGAGAGTTTTTCTCACCCCAACAACAGCACAAAATCTGTCTTGACACTTTGAGACACACCCGCCCTATCAAAAACATGGTCAACCACTACAAGATTTTAAAGTTCTAAGTGAGAGTGGGAGGACCAGGACCTTTTAAAATTAGCAGCTGTGTTGGCAAAGAAATCTGGGGTTGTTTTTAGCAAATAAAAATATAGCATTTTGTGGAAAAACTTGAAATCTGTGTAAAAACTGCTTGCATTTTATGCAGGATGCAGGATTCTATTATGTAAAGTGCACTTCTGCAAATTTTTGCAAAGATAAATAAATGCTGAAATACTAAAAATGCACAAAACCCCCTTAGTCTCACTGCAGGGAGAAAAGTTTTCATTGTTTTGTCCTCATGTGCAAGTGCAAAAAAGTGAATATTCGCATCCCTGTTTATGAATCTATATGAGAAATATACATATATTTTATTTACTGAATTCAGTATTACGTAGTTCTACAAATGTGAATGTTTTTCAACATTTGGTAACTATGGCCAAAACCACATGCTGTCTTAAATCTGCACTGAACTCACAGTGACTTCTGTTGCTGCACATGATGTGAGCCCTACTGTGTTTTCAACATGGTGCCAATTTGTGCTTTTAAAAACTGCAACAGGGCTTTTGTGACTGGTTGGCCAGTGTTGGGCGGCTTCCCAGCTACTGACAGCACCCAGGCCAGGAAGATAGGCCAGGAAGACATGCTCAACATGCAGTAAAAACAGACCCAGTGAGGCTGCTCCCCATCCCCTGGAACAATGTTGCTGGCTGGCCAATGCTAGGAGGCTTCCTGGCTACCTTGGCACTGGCTGGTTTTGGTGATGTTGTTTTTGCCTAGAGGAGGTGGCCGGGGGGTGGGCAGCTCCAGCATGTCAAGGGCTCTCAGCTGCCGACCCAATCTCAGAGCTGTAAGTAGCTGGTAAGCCTCCCAGCACTGACAGGCTGGGAGTTCCTCTATATCCTGCTTCAATGTGAGGAATTTCATTAAATCAGGACATGTGTTTCTAGCAGTTTTGTGTCTGTTTGCAGATAACCTCCAGTAAAAAAAGCTTCCTGCAAGTTTTCTGCAAATGTGTGGTTCCTGCCTGTGACTTAGTTAATTTTCTCCATCCGTTGTAACTGCCACAGACCAGTACAAATGATCTCCTCACCCAATCTCTTTACACAAAAGTGCTGTAAATGTATAAGCACATTTTAATATGGTGCTCCACAAGTTTGGAATAGCTACGTTTATTGCTCATGGGTCAAGTTCCCCAAATTTCCAAAAGTTCAGTTTTCCCTTTTCTGGATCCTGACTAGAAGTACACTTCACACTTGCCTTGAGTAGCTGACCATATATATACTGTATAAGCCAAACTACATATTCTGTTGGAGCTGTATCTGGAACTCAGATATATTTAAAGGAGAAACATAGTGTGTGGGTCTACTTTTGAACACATATAGTATGGATGGGAGGGTTTAACCCTTCCTCTCTTCTGTACTACTAACCGGAGTGCCACTCCACCTCCAGAGGTGCAATTAGATTTTCAAAACTTTCAACTATTGGGTATGATCATCTACAGAAGCCTTGCTGCTCCATCAAGCTAGTAGGTACATAGGACAGGGCCTTTTCAGTGGTGGTTTTGTGAATGTAGACCTTATCTGGGGAAACGTATTTGGTTTCCTCACTAATGGCTTTTTAAGTGGGCCTGGAGACCTGATGGTTCAGTTCTGTTTTTAGTTGATGCTGCTTTGACTGCTGAGATGTAATTTGAATGGTTACTGCTATTTTATTGCTGGTATTAAATATTTTTTAATATTTGGCAAATATATTATCTTTTAATTGTTTGCATTTGATTTTGTAAGCTGCTTTCTGTCCAGGAAGGTGAAATATATATATTTTAAACCAAACAACAGAAACCCTGAGTATCATGCTAAACAGATGAATTTACAACATGGCCTTCGGAGTTCTCACTCTGGATTAGAGCTGGAGTGTTGGGGGAGCAGTGATGCTGTTGAACCCATGCTGCCGTGATTTCCATGTTTTGAGTTGATCCAGAGCCTGGGTGTATTTCTGGGCCCTGCTTAGATTAAGCATGTAGTTGTAATGCCAGTGTTTTCTTCTGTGGAGAGGAGATTTCCCACCATGCTTTTGTAGCCTCTAGTACCAAGTACTGAAGTAAACTTTAGTTAGGACTGCCATTGAAGGCAACTTTGAAGCTGTAGCTAATTAAGAAGTATTTCAGGTTTCTTCCAAAAAATACAGGGTACCAAGGCCCTCATATAGTGGTAGATGCACTGCCTTCGATTTCCATGATTCACTGAAGGTCCTAGTGCATATTTGAAAATGCTTTGTGGTTTGGACTGATCTGCTAGAGGCGCTCCTCTAGACAGAGGTCTTTACACTGGCCAGAATCCTACTGCTAAGAGGTATCAGTGTGCGTGCAGCAGCTTAAGTCACAGCTGCTAATTGTGGCTTATTAAGGAAGCACTGCTTGTTCTCCTTGTCACACGCCAAGTAATGTGAGTAGTGTGTGACAAACGATACAAGCAATGACTCTTTAATTTGCTGCAGTTGGCCACTTTCTTAGTCAATACTCAAGACTGTTCTACCGCTGCTGGAGTATTTAACAACAGTATTCTGGCTACTATCTACATTTTACAGACATCTATGAAACTTGCTTTCGATGTTGGAGGTAGAAAGGCTGGAATGGCAAAGAAATTGACAACCAAGGTCTGCTTAGTCAGATATAACAACCATATTGACACGAACCACAATCTGTAAACTTCATTCAAACCATGTTTTTATATCTTGGATTGTGGCCAGTCTTTAACCATGATTATAATATAACAAATCATAGTTAGGTGTTACATCTGCATAGGTGTCAAAATATTCTGTCTTTTCATATATACTTTGAATGGCAGAAATGTTCATCCAGCACTCTGTAAGACTATGTTCTTGACTACTTGGTAACATACACTGTTCTATTTGCTTGCTTGCGTGCATGCTTTAATTCTTCTGCAAGCTTTCATGTAATCTTCTAGGTTCTGATGTTCCTGGTTTTGATACTGTGACAGCATGATGTTAGTTAGACCTCTACTCAGCATTTGTTTTTGATCATGTAGACTTTGGATCAGGCTGTTGGTTATGTAGTATTGTAAAATGCTATTAATTTTTCTGTTTTTATTGCAGGTTAGTAGTAAAGATGAAGATTTTCTTGATCTTTCTGTCGATGTTGAACAGAACACATCAATTACTCACTGCTTACGGTAACACAGGGTGACTGCAATAGAAATACATGCTGAAGAAAGAGAGAATAGCTCTCTAATCATTCTAAAAGATGTGAAAAGAAAAGGCAGTTCTAGTATGCATAAATCAAGTCAAGAAATATAAATGGAGCTTTTGTTGGTGAGAGAAAAGTGGGAATATACAATATATATCTATCATAGTGTGATGGCATGTTTGATAATAAACTGCAGCTTTTGAATCTTTGCCCAATAAAGGAAGTAAGATTATTCTCTGGAGCAGGGAGTTTGAGAATGGTTTTTATGTGCAAGTGTGTGTAATGACACACTTGCTGGGAAAATAATATGTTATCTCTCAGTCAAAAGGCCCACTGATGAATAATATGATGCATTTGTTCCAGATAAGAGATGGTTGGATTCCATAAAGAAAACCATAACCTTTAGTTTACAAGAGCTGAGCTGGGCTGTTGGAGACTGGACCTTTCGGAGGTCATTCATTCATGTGGTCGCCATAAATCAGAGGCGACTTGACAGCACGGAGCAACAACAATATGACAAATTGTTCCTAGATGTTCAAAACCTTATTTATCACAACAGTTAAACATATGAGCATTCCATAGCACCCATGAGCTAACATTAAGCAGAGCTTTTAATTTTTAGGGATGTACCGATGTTTTGCTGCATTAAGAATATATTTAAACCTCTTTCCAAGTTAAACATCTACTTAAGCATTATTTCCACCTGTGATCAGTCACTTGAAATATGGGAAGTTTATTTTTCTTTTTATGTGGGTACAGTACTCTGCTTTAACTGTTTGGACAGGTGATGGTTTGGGGCCATCTGCACAAGAGTATCTGTCTTACCTGAAAGATCACTTGTATTTATGTGTCCTACCATGATATATCAGCTTTATCCAAAATGCTTATCCTTGAATAAGGACATGCTGTTTAGGGTTTTTTGGACTCCAACTCATGAAATTCTCCAGTAATTCTCTACACAGGTTTCTGGAAATTCCAGCCCACAGAACTGGCACATTCCTGAAGGGAATACGGCTACTGTTACATGCACTGTTGAAGCAGCTCAAAATGTAAATTGCATTGGTTAGATGTTTGCTCAACAATGCTGGTTACTAATGGGCAATTCTACACTCTCCCTATTTTATAATGAATCCCCTGGTAATTCAATAGACCCCCTAGAGACCATTTGGTAAGAGAACAAACCGTATGAACTGATCTTAAGATAAAGGAAGAAATGGCTTCAGTGCCATCAGCATGAAGTCTCATCCAGTAAACAACAAATAAATAAATAACATATATCCAGTTATTACTCTTCTCTTTTCTGTAAACAAACTTACCAATAACAGTCTTGGTGAAGTTAGAAATACTGCCCTTTTGGGTTTTGCTCAACATTATTCACTTGTAACTAGCATAAAATGTGACCCTGAAGTTCTCAAATATTTTGAAAATTGTTACTGCCACATTTAAGAACTAAAACTTCTTTGTTAGATTTCAGTTGGTATAAATAATGCAGAATTGCAAGGAAGAAAAAAAAAGTTGAACAGGATCTATTCCAAGGTTAATTCCTTCCCCACTTTAATATTACCTCTAGTTCTCCTTTCTTCTAACTGTCTTTGGAAGAAAAGGGCTTCTTTGTTTAAGCCTCCAATAGTTATTTTCCCTTGGGTGTCAATATTGGCACTGAATGAAAAATTCATGTAATGGTACAATAAATTATATATCAATTTTTTTTATTTCCACAAAGAGCTGAAAAGGCCAGTAGATTCAGACAATCTTACCTCTCATAGCCCCTTTCCTTTGTTTTTATTAACATTGTCCTACATATGGTCTTTAAAAAAAGAAATAAAAAAAGAAAAACATATTTCCCATGAATAAACAACACCCCTGACATACTTTTCTCTAAGGGAACAGCTTATCCATGTAGATTTGAGCCAGAAAAAAAGAAATGAGGGAATGTAGATTTTGCTATTATTTATATCAAAAGGAAGTATTTTGTTGGACATATAGCAGGTGTCTGTTAGCATGCATGAAAATCACACTGAAATACGCTTTCAGAGAGCAGGACTAAGATAGAGACAAGCAGCAGTCAGTGCCTGGCTGACCCTTTGGAGTTGCTGCCTGGCCCAGTGTTTCCCAAGCCAAAAGTAAGAGAGGCAAGTAATAGGAGGGACTCTGCTATCAGCCATCTTAGAAAATAACAGTTGTGGGATTGCATGTGCATCCATAGCAAATACACTTCTTGTTTAAAGACTTCAGAAATGCCAACTTGTGGGGATATATATAATGACATCTTTTGCATAATTGAACAGTCCAAGTGGGATTAATATGTTAATTCTTTTCATTAAACATTACCAACCTTGCTATTGGGAATTCATCATGGCCTTTGCGAGATGCATTTCTCTGGTTCTTTACACTGAGACATTTCATTAAGATATTGATGCTCAGGTTTTTGCCCACATGGAACCATAGTATAACAAAGCCTAAACACCCACTGTAAATTGTTGAAATGAAACACCAACAGACTATTAGAGAATAGCAGAAGGCAACTAAAAGCCTGTAAGTAGCAGAAGAACTAAGAGTTAATAAGCCTGGTTGTTGTTTGTAAAGCAGGACAACTAGCAGTTAATAAAATAATTTTAGTAGTCAGTGGCCAAAGTTCTCTTGTACAGTTATGCATGTGCAACATGATAGCACTGAGGCAGAAATGGTATTGACAGAGCACTTCCACTAACGCATTGTGCAGTTGATCACACCAGGAACACACATCCGATTGTGCAGTTGAGTTCTGCAATTGGACCACACAATTCCTTGTTCATGTTACGCTGGCCTGAACTGAATTTTGCTCATATATCAGTTGCCCCCAAGGTCCTCTGAAACAAGATCGTATGACTTTATATCTTAAGATCAAGTTGAATTGGCTGTTGTCTCCTGGCAGGTGTGGTGTCAGGTGTTGGCACCTTTTGATATTTCCCTGGGCCCTGAGTGGTGGAGGAATTCCTTCCTGGTTACAGCCAACCTGTCCCATCATGCTTTTCAGTGCTGGTGGCCACCATTTTAATTCTGCCATAATGCCTGGGCATAGAGTGGCTCTAGATTTTTTTTCCTGCTATCTTGAAGGCAAGGAGAGCAGCAGTATCTACCTGCAGGGTTTCAAATATTGTCCCTGTCACATGAGGTGCTTCTTTAGACCAGTCGTAGTTTCTTAGCACTCTTTAAAGGTAATCCCATGTAGCCTTCTTTTCAGGCACACAGATGCCAGTGCAAAAATGAACATTTTGGATATTTCTCCCCTGCCCCCACTGGGTTTCAAGGTGCAGTAAAACTACATGTGTTCTATAATTTATAAGTTATTCAAGATGTTTTTGGTGCAGGAAATATAAAGATTTTGTTTCTAAAGCCTGATACTTTTGTTAATTTCAGGGACTTCAGCAACACAGAAACACTGTGTAGTGAACAGAAGTACTATTGTGAGACCTGCTGCAGCAAACAGGAGGCACAAAAGAGGTAAGTTAAGGGACAATCTGGCCAATCCCTGCTCAGGGATCTCAGAGCAAATTTTAAAGCTGTAATTGAAATAAATCTTTTCATGTCTGTGAAAGAGAGAAAAAGCACAGAGCTTTGCTGTGTCGTTTGCTAAATGGAGCATGAAAGAAGTATCAAATATAGCAGAAGTGGGTAAATAGAAACTAGACAGGTACATATAAACTCCTCTCAGCCCCCCCTGGGCTCCCCGGTCTACTACAAGCATCCCAAAGTGCCCCTCCATTGTTACTCATTTGATAAGTTGTTGCTCACATTACAAGCCACATGCCAGTCACACCGTTAGAAACTGTGTATCAACTCATTAATGAGTGGCAATTCACCCCCATGATGTATGCAATAACACTTATGCTGTCATAAATCCCCAATAGCATTCTGGTCAATAATAATAATAATAAATAAATATGTATCAAAATGTGCCTTCCTTGTCAAATCCCTCTCTCTTAGCCCCTTTTAAGAGTATAATTTTCAGGCTGCTTGCAAAAGCTGAAAAATCGCCCTTGGCCCCACCAAGATTGTCCAACCCTGAAGTAAAGCAAAACTGTAGTTCATGTTTTACCCTAAGAAACCTAAAAATGTCCAAAATGGAAACTACCAGTAATCTATCCGTAATTCATTGCCCAGGGAAGGTAAGTTTGCATTCATAATTTTAGCCCATGAGAGAACATAAGGCAGGACTGGACAAAGTGTGCCCTACTGGCCATGCATGGCTTCCTCACTTCTTGTTGGTAGCCCCCCGATGTCCTTCCCCCAACAAAGAAAACATTGGTTTTGTTAGTATATGTAATTATGCAACACAGTATGTTTCTGTGTATCTGTATGTTTAAATCTGTTTGCTGTGAAAGACCAGAATGTTTTATTTGCATAGCACAGGATTCTGACCAATTGGAATGTGTCTGGGAGACAGCCAGGAAGATGTCAGCGAGAAGTCTGTCAGATAAGGACTCGGCCAATATGAGACAATGCATGATAGAGACAACCATATCATATAGACTAAGATAGGTACAATGCCAAACAGGTAAAAGACAGGGATCAATATGAGACTAATATGTAACAGACAGGATTTGATACTCCCAGATAGGGCTTACAAATGTAATAGTATAATGATAAGAGAGTTAGTTATTTACCAGAGAAAATATGTCTGTCAACAAGTATAAGCAACATGTATGACAAACGACAAAGCACTATGGGTTGTTATACTTTGCAGATGTTTATAAACAGCATGACCATAGCATATGCCCAAGAGATGCATCATGAGAATTACAGTCCCAACAATTAGATCATTTATCAGACCTTTCCTAAAAACACGTTGCGACATTCAGTATGTTCTAAACGTAATCTTTTGTTGGATGAGTTGTATCTTAAGATATGTAGCTATCTCAGGGATACTGGTGAGTGCTCTATTTCATTGATTAGACTGAGGCAATAATCATTTCCAAAATTGCAGGAGAATCTGAAGCACTCAATGCTGCTGGACCATATTTAGCTATCATTAGATGCTGTAATTGTACGTATGGCTATTCAGCTGAAGCTGACGAGCCGAAGGTAATGCAGTGAGTTTCCTGGCTGAGTGAAGATTTTGATCTTTTGTCTCCTCTGTTGTTTGATGCTCTAAATATATTACCATGCTGGTTTCTCCCTTCAAACAGAACAGCACCGTAAGAGGGAGAAAGATTGTAGCCCATTCTTTTTCTCATTATAGCAATTAAAATGTTACTATAGAGCATTTTAAGATGTGTGTCTCTCACCCACAGTGGGGTGTGGTATAGTCCATGACCTTAAAGACTGTATCATTGTCCAGTATTCACACTCCATTCTATTGTATATGTGAAAGATCCAGCCAAGGACTTGTTGATTGGGAGCTGGGAAATGCTTACCAATTTTATTTTTCCAAGGTTTGTGCATGCTTCCAGTCACCTAAACAGTAACTAATAATAACAGGTCACTATTTTATAGTAGAAAAGCGAGTTATTCTTTCACATTAGCATTTTGCATCCATAGGGAACAGAAACATGCCTGTACGGTGCAAATGGAACACGGAGTTTTTACTCTGTAATCTTATTCTGAATTCACAGGATGAGGGTTAAAAAGCTGCCAATGATCCTTGCACTGCACCTGAAGAGATTCAAATACATGGAGCAGTTACATCGCTACACCAAACTCTCTTACCGTGTGGTTTTCCCTCTGGAACTACGTCTCTTCAACACATCTGGTGATGCGATCAACTTGGATCGCATGTATGACTTGGTAGCTGTAGTAGTTCACTGCGGAAGGTAAATTGTACTCTCATATATGCCAGGAAAGAATTCCTGTACAGAAGGAGGAGCTCTTAATATAAGAAGGAATGTTCTCTCTAATTTGTGGGGGAGGGGAGTTTCAAATCTGCTTTTAAGAACATCTTTAGATATTTTATTATGGATTTCTTGTAGGGGCTCTGGTGGACAGAACAGTGATTAACAAGCACAAGAAGTGCTATGGTAGTTCATCATAAAGCAGTTTGTGGTGAATTACCAAAACACCCAAAACAAGGGAGCAGTCTCTAAATATTTTAGGTCCTTGGGAGAAGTATATTTTATGCAAATTAAAAAGAAAATAGTTATCTTGAAATACATTCCAGGAGATATTAGTTGCAGCCTAAAGGTCTTTTATTATAACAAGACTTTTCTATCCAGTTTTGTGTCACTCCATTTAAAAAATGTTTTCCACCCATTTTCTTATTAGTGGACCGAATCGTGGACATTATATTACCATTGTGAAAAGTCATGGCTTCTGGCTTTTATTCGATGACGATATTGTAGAGGTTAGTACACTGATGATCACTGAGCACAATTTACATGCATCTAGTTGGGTAGTTTAAGTGACATTGTGTATAATTTTCTGAATTCATGTCTTAATTTCAGAATTTCTGTAAATAATACCACTGAGAAACATTACTGCCAATAGGACTTATGCCAAGATTCCATTGCTTTGAATCCCAATGTTTAGTTATCTTGTTATTTGGCTTCTAGTCCAGAGGTCATCAACCCCCAATCTGTGGCCCATTGCCGGTCCATGGTTGAGCTCGACCAGACTGGGAAAACAGACCTCCTGGGCCCCCCCGCATGCACTCCCCTGCCCCACAGCTCCTTTGCACACATATGCGTGTGCTGGTGCTGGCGTGAGCACTCCCTCACCCCTTAGCAGCTGTGGGGAGGGGAGTGCGTGTGGGGGTGGGTGGGAAGTCTGTCTTTGCAGCCCAGTGGCGGCGGCGATGAGGGGAGTAGTCAAGAGCCGGGAGGCAGGGCATGGCCGGGTGCTCCAGCTTCTGGGCTCCTGGCAGCAGTGGCAGCGGCGGCGATGGGGGTGTGATGAAGAACCGGGAGGAAGAGCATAGCCAGCCAGATGCTCCGGCTGCTTGCCTCCCGACGGGCTCCAGCAGGGCCGGGGTCGGCGCTCCTCACCGCCCTCAGCAGGCTGATGTTGCCGCTGGTGCCTCCAATTCCGGAACCGGCACCAGCGACTGCATTTGAATTTCCAGCAGAGGGCAGCAAGGAGCCCCACTCACAGCCTTGTTGGAGCCCGTCGGGAGGTGAGCAGCCGGAGGGAGCACCCCGGGTATGCTGACTCCCAGGCTGCTGCCACCGGCGGCAGCACTGGCACACGCTCCCTCACCCCTTCAGGCATGCGCCCATGCACAGGGGTGGGGCGGACGCATGGATGGGCAGGCGCTCCTGCACATGCGCGAAGCGGTGGTGGAGCATGCGTGCGTACGCCTTTGGCGAGCACGATCCCCCACTGCTTCGTGCATGTGTCCGAGAGTGCGAGCACGAGGGGCCGCCTCACCCCCTCAAAGGCACAGCCGGTCCACGGTAAGAAAAACGTTGATGACCTCTGTTCTAGTCTACAATATACACGGTATTAAATACGGTAATAAAATGGCCTGCCCCATTTTAGGCTTCAGATCACAGACAACATTTTAAATTCTCACTTGATTTTCAAAATCTCTACACAAGTAGAGAAGTAGCACAACAGGGGAATGAGTAGGCTACTATGTTTATCCCCAAGATTCTAGCTTTTTTAATATGAAGGAAAGATTACTTTTTAAGAGGAGTAGCCTTTACAGTGGTTATTCCTATATTCATATTTCAAAGTAGTACAGTCTGCTGCACTGCTTGATTCTATTCTCGTTCTGTTGGATTTTGAAGGTCCCGTCGAATGGAACCCAGAACAATTTGACAACACTGAACTGCGCTATCCACCTTTTGCCAGTTTGAGGCAGGAGATTTAGGTTCTAATTTAGCTTGGTAGGCAAGTCAAACAAGGTGGTTCTTTAAATGAGATAACAGTTGTGCTCCTAAACATAAGACAATTATTTTCCCATATATATAATTTTATTTTGTATTTGTCCTGATATACATTTGTTATATGCCTCATTCTTATTAGTTATAGTGAGAACTGTTTGTTCTCCTCTGTGAAGAGACCATATTCGCAACTATCTCATTATTTACTGACAACAGGCACTTTACAGCCTTTAAAAAAAATTATTTGATATATAAAGCATGGAGAATTTTTTTAACATTTCATTCAATTTCTCTGTTCATATCTGCATTTGTTGTTTTTTTTTTAAAGATTTGAGGCATTACTATAACACTCAGTATGCAACGCAAGGGCAAACAAAAAGAAATAAGTGACAAATATGTGATCAACTGACACTGTAACCCCAGATAATATAAGATTTACAAGGGCTATGATGAGCGGAACATTATAACACATCCCCCACAAACTAGAAAGCAAGCAGGATATCATAGACCGGAAAGATTTCAGAAAATGGATTAACAATCCATTCTGTGATTCTGAATGTGGGGAACGGGAGGGGGCAAGTAATTCAAAAGGAGTTTAAATTGCCTAGGCAACTGGCTGGCAGGTTTAGCATGACGGCAATAATGTATTTGTCCATTATCTCAGTGAAGATGGCCGACTCTTATTTGCTGGCTAAAGAAATATTAACCACAAAGAAGATAAACAAATGGTCTTTGGGGGGGAAAAAGACATTTGAAAGGAAAGAATTAAGCAATAGCACTTTCACATTTCCTAGCTGGACAGTGCAAAAGCAATATTATTTTCAACTTTTGCAGCTCACCACAACATACTATGCTGGTGCAAACGTGATCCTATGAAATTTGCATTGCAGGACATTCCTACTGCACCTAGTAGATTGACCACTGATTTCATATTAGCATCTGCATATCTTAAATGAAGTTTCTGTGACTGAAATCCTTTGTGCAACTCCATGGGCGCAACATGAAGCTGCAACAGCAGTCAGAAGGATGCAAGAGGGCAGAAGTGCTATTAACAAAAATAAAGGATTTTGCCATCCTGTGGCACATTTTTTTACATTTTCCTCTTTCTTTTTACAGAAAATTGATGCACAAGCTATTGAAGAATTCTATGGCCTGACTTCTGATATATCCAAAAATTCTGAATCTGGATATATTTTATTTTATCAATCAAGAGAGTGACTGCAAGCACTGTGACCTTTCCCTGCTCAAGAAGAGAAATTGACCAACACTGTTAACTCATTTCTGTGTAGACCCATCCGATAGAGAGTCTCCTCTGAGCTCATGTTGACAATTGCTAATTGAAGCTCCCCATCTTTGCTAGAATATAATATCTCCTCCAACTTTTAGTTTTGACTCACACTTAACTACAGCAAGAGCAAATTTATGCAGACTCATGTTCATCTACCAAACTCTGCCGAACTGAGGTACATGTTGCCTGGATATGTGTATCGTCATTAAGGGCCTTTTGCTCTTGGTAATAACAAACCATGCATTTAGACCAGTGATTTCAAAACTGTGTTCTAAGGAATCCAAGGATTCCTTGGATGCGTCTCAGTAGTAATGGGGGTAGACAACTAACACAGCCAGAGTCAGGGGTCAGCATTCTCAGGCAGTTTCTGGAGCCCATGCTGTGCCCAGGGTGCAGGGAGAGGGATTGTTGACCCCCAGATTCCTTATTCCTTCTCCTCCTTGTTTCAGTTTCTTGTTTACTTGCTTTCTCTTAATTTTGTGTGAAGAAGAGTCCATTCAGAGAATTTGCTCATGGACTCCCCCCTCGCCCCCAAATGTGGAGTGAATTCTGACATCCATTCTTTAAAGCAGCCTTCCCAAGATTGAGTCCTTACAGAAGTTTGGACAACACATTCTGGCATCCCTGATTATTGGCTGGTGGTGAGGAGAGTTGAAGTCCAAAACAAGTGGACAGGCCCAGGTTGAGAAACATTGCTCTAGAGATTGTTTTGCCGCAACTATTGATCTTTACCTGAAAGGTACACCTGCAGGAAGTAACAGATGTTCCTGCTTCCTTTCCTGCTGTTGGAGGGTGATTTCCAGAAAGACAGGCCAGTGCTTCAGATGAAATGAACATGTCTGCACTGCGGCAGAGGATTCTTTAAGGTTCCTAAGCAGAGAATGATCAAGGGTTCACACACACTCTTAAGGGTTAAAAGACTGGAAGCTATTGTTGCTTTCAAGATAGACTAAAATTGAACTAAGTGGAAAGATGTTTATGTACTTCATAATTGGAACTGGAGTTGGATTGCAGATTATGCCACATGGTTTTCTCCAGTTAGAGAATGATTATCTCTCGATCCTTTAAAGCTCTGATTTGTTTAAAAAAGAAAGAAAGAAAGAAAGAAAGAAAGAAAGAAAGAAAGAAAGAAAGAAAGAAAGAAAGAAATTGGGCAGCCTTCAAACAGACGTTTATCCAAAGGGATTTCAGTTTTATTTGAATGAAATCATTCTGCACATATCCAGTCTTCCTGTTTATTGTGGGACAGCGCACATGAACCAAGCTGGCCCCCTGGATTCCTATGATCTGAAGGGGGATTTTGCACTGAAGACAAGGAGATGTTGTTTCTCCATGTTACTTTCACTGCATAATGAGTGATAGTATCTTGTTGTAACCCAAAGAAATATTATGAAACTTTGTTCTTGCTTACCCAGGTTTGCCCACATCTCGAGCATCGTGCATCTGAGCAAGTACTTGTGCATCCGTTGTGTAATCCAGTGAAGCGATAGTGGTCATTGCTCAAGCAGAGCTTCATGTGTGCAAGGGTTTCTTGTTCTCATGTATTGTAGGAAATGCTTTGTGTGCACATTAGAGATCCTACATGTACAACAACAACAACAAAAGTACAACAGAGCCACTGAATTTGAGGGAATACCTGTCAGAGTGGTCAGTCCTGCAAATTGACGTTGAGAGTTAAGTGTCATGGCATAAATTCCTGGGTTCTGTCCTTAATGTGACCAAGGAATAGACCTCATAGAAAATGGCCCCATTAAGTTCTATAACACCAAGTAAATGGCCTCCTGGCAGCAGGACTGTTGAGGGAGATGCAAATCAAATAACCTGAGGCAAAATGTTCTCGGAGCAAAAGGTGGGGTTAACATCCATCCCAGGAATCTCCCAGGAATCATGCCTTCACTTTCCGCTCCATCATTTGGAGTCTTAGCTTACAAGAGTTCCAGTTCAGTTCTGTGGCATGGAGTGAAAATAGGTTGAACTTGGCAAGACTATTGAAATGATATGACTGCTTCTTTCCAGATTTTAAGTTGACCATTTAGTTCTTACCATACAAATGTCCCAAAGCATGTTCCTGTAGGTTCTTCCCTATCAGTGAACGGGTGACACTCACAGCTGTGAGGACAAGGAAAATGCTTTGCTTGAGAATGACTTTACAGTGATGGGCTAGTTGTGTCATTGGACCCTTAACAACTTACCTGGCTTTCCCTGCACGGGAGTACCACTGAGGCAGCAGTTTCTTTCTCTATACTCACATCAAAACCTGCAATATAAGAGCTGCCTTCCCCTAATTTTGTCAGCCATTTTGCTCATCGTATCATAATTCAGAGCACTTATCCAGATGGGGATTAACCATGCCTGCCATCAACAGCCATGCACATTAACTAGCACAGGTTTGTACTACCTGAATGTCTTGAGGCTTCCTAGTTAGTTATAATAGCTATGCTCCTGATGTTCAGTGGCTTCTGAAATAACGTATTAAGTCATCTTTAAATGTAAATATCTGAAGGGGAATGGGAAAAACCTGTCTTCTTCTGTTACTGGCTCTAACATTGCAGGGTTGTCTTAAAGTGTAATACCTCTGTTTTGTTGTCCATGGGCTGTTCACACTAAGTGCAAATAAAATAGAAATAAAATAGAAGGCAAATGGCATAGTCCAGCAGGATGTTCTCTGAGACAAGTACCATTGAAATGGCTAGGAGCTGAATAGGGCCTCTAGTTGCTGCTGGATCATGTCTCGAATGGATGTGTGTATGACCTCAAGGCAAAAAAAGTTCTAGAATTGCTCACAGCATTTTTCTCTCTTTAAAGGAAGAAAGGATGGAAAACAGCAACAAGGAATGCATTTTAGGAAACAACTCCCTTTAGTACTTTTTAATAGAGACTGAATTGCAGTTTTGTGGCTGAACTGTTAATATTTTATCTTTATCCATTACTGATGGATCTTCCATTATGGTTTCCCTTTGGCAAGTGAAACGTCCTCATGTGCATGTGCTATTTACCATTTTAAAGAAAAACACAATGGTGATGTTACATTATTAGCCTTTGCTAAAGTAACAGTCACTATGTACTTAGAAGGGTCTGGTCTGCTGCATACCAAAGAGTGTAGCACTTTACATGTGTGAGAAGACAAAAGCAGATTTTTTTCCCCGAAAAATTCTTTAAAGTACTATAAATGGTTTGCCACCATGGTGATTTAGTGGATTTTTTTAAAGCCTTGCTTGCATGAACACACCATTTGATCAGCAGGACGGTGGATGCTCTAATGTGCCTAATATGTACAATGAAGTCTGAGTGAGCTCCTGACAAAAGGAATGTGGGCAATGCCTGCTTAAAATCTCATACGTCAGAACTGGACCTGGGGTTGGATCTACATTTAGGCGCTGAAGGAATTTGGCTTCCTATTCCCTCCTTCTGCAGAAGTGCTGGAGTCCACAAAAGAGCCCTGGGGAGAGTGAGGGTGAGGGAATGAGGGTGCTATGGTGGAGAAAAGAAAATGCCTGAAAAACAGGTTATTCTACCAGCAGAAGGCAGGCTCTCCAACTAAGGCCCATCTTGATTCTGTCATACGAGATTTCAGCGGCCATTGCCAGCATCTTTCCAAACAAGTCCATAATCAGAAGGACAGAAACGTTCCCGCACCTCGCCCCTTAAGGCTCAAAGCTGAGGATATTGACTCCTCTACAAGATGGCAAATCCTATATTTGCACATTACCTTCGAAGACGCTAGGACTACAAGATGCTTAAATTCTGGGGCTTCAATTTTTGAAAATTTGAGTGCATGTCTTGCATGAAACTTAAGTTGGTGGATCTTAGATTTTTAGTGAAAAATGAAGCACATCCTTGTGAGCATAAATCTGCCACTCACTGACTGCAGGTTCCAAATTGGACCACTCAGTGAAATAAAAAAGGGACAGGTTTCAGTTAATATAAAGATGACTTTCTGAATTGTGCCTATAGTCTGTAATTCAAAATGACAGTTCATACATATATATGTATCATTTGATTATTCATCTTTTAAAAATTAGCAGTTGAATATATGAACTTGTTTAAGCCTGGTTTAGACACAATAAAAAAAACATGGTTCCCTCTGACACCCATGAATAAGCCACAGCATGCCTTAGGCTTGTACTGACTCCTGTTTTCTTGTTCAAGACCCCAAGGAAGAGATTGAAAGCATCCACTTACAATCTTTAGGAGGCTATGTTCCCTTATGATTTTGGAAATATTGAAACCATAGTTTCTTCAAACTCCAGTTAGAAAGCTAACAAAGACCAAAAGCCATTAGTTTGATCCTGGTTTGTTTGCATTTGGATGTGATGAGTAACTGTGGTTTCTTTAAAACTACACATAAATGTTCCTCCCTCTACAAAGATTTGCAACACCTACAGAACTTGTTTTATATGCATTTCTAAAATATAGTTAAGTCAGTAAAAATAATTAAGTAAGTAAAAAATACAGTTAAGTAAATTAAAAATATTCAAACCCAAGGGCTACCATGGTAGGTCCATGTTGTGGATTCCCCAGTTTGACCTTTCTTCTGAACGAGGCCTTTGTAAGTGTCGTCCTTGAGGAGATTATGTGAAAGCTGTGTGTATGGTCTGTGATGGCTGATTCTCACATGCAGGGCATCACTCGATATTACCGTCATTAAGTGATCCATGAGCATGTGGGAAAGAGCAGCCTTAGCAAGTATGTCAGTGATACACTTCTTGCCTCAGAGGACACAATGCATGAGAGTCTGTCTTTCTCTCAAACAGGAACAATGCCAACTTTGTCTAATTAATAACTGGAATCAATGAAGCTCTTTCCAATACAACCCACTCAAGTCAACAGACACTGAATAATTGACTCCCACGGAGTTGGGAATGTGGGATTTTGTGAATAAAGTCCTTGACTTGCTTTGCTATGTTGCACAGGATTTTTCCGAGATGTGGCCATCACTTTTTTGACAGGCTGGCTGCTCTGGCTATGGCGAATAAATGCACTTTCTAGTTCTGTGTTAATCTATGTAATACACATGTTTTGTACATTGCAACGGTTGCTGCCAAACATTTTTAGGAGGCATGTTAAATCTTTTTTTTTTAACATAAAAAAAGCTAGCATTTAATGTGTAACTTGAATGTTTGGAGCGGATGTTTATATAAATAGAATTTTTGCATTACTGGAATTTTTAAAAAAATAAAATGGAAAATAGGGATTAAGGTATATTTGATTTCTACCTTAAGGAAAATGTTCTCTTTTTGTTGTAGGTAATGAAACCAGAACATTGAAATAATATTTAAATATTATAATATACAACTTGGTGTGTTTTTCTTTCCTGTATCTCTAATTTGAGTTCAATAATAAATACAGACAACTACAACATACTTTTTGGTATTACTATTCTAGGCTTCCCTAGTTTAATTGTTTTACAAAATTGGGACCTAATCTTACACAAGGTAAAGACTCCATTGTATGTCTCATACTCGTCTATACAGTTCCATGTCCCAAACAAGTAGATGATGCCATTATACACTGTATGTCTGTTAGGACAACATGTGTGGTCTTATGAAATATGCTGAAAATCACAAGGGCAGCATATGTTCTCAACCACAATCCCATTTGCACTCCCCACCCCATTCAGGATAGGACTAGTGACTTACAGCCTGCTTCTGTGTCAGTATTGTGTCTAGCAGGGTCAAGTTGAATGCTGCTCAATTTTAATGAATCAATCCAATGTTTACTGAAAGACAAACCCTACTACTGTCATCACTGGAGGACAGGATGACTTAGATTTATTTTAGGAGCTAGTGTGGTTTTCCTCTACAGTGGCCTGCTTTGTAACATCTACAACATACACCCTACTTCCTGTTTCAAAAGCAGATTTATACCAACATCTGTCTGCATTGAGGAATTATGTGCTGAAATTGTGGGCTCTCCCCACCAAGAGAAAAAACTGACTTTGAAACATGTGTTATTTTGAAATTAGTTGACAATTAATCTGTGCATAGCCAGAATCTGTTGTAGATTTATACTGGTGTAAGTGCAGTGATATGAATCATGGTGGCAAATTGCTGCTACCAAATGAGTTGCTGCTTGCATTTCTTGCCCTATGCCAGATGTCTGACTTGCTGCATAACTGGAAATGCAAGTGACAACATATAAGTACAATTTTAGGAAAGGTATAGAAACACATCTTGTTAGAGTGGCATAAAAGATCTAACCTGCCTTGCTGTGTTGTTCTTAATCTATACGTTTGCTGAAATTAATGGCTTTAAATGAATTTGCTTAATTCTGATGGTTTTTACATGTTGGCTGGTTTATATGGTTTTATCATTTTTTTAGATAAATGTGATTTTATCCATTTTTATTCTTTTGAAAGTTTGTTCACTGCCTTGAGCACTATCTTTTAAAGGATAGAATATAACTGTATTGATGAATAACAGAGATACGTGACTATTATATGCTGCAATTTACGCCACTACATTCATGCTGCCATAAATTTTCCCTGGGTTTATGGCCATCGCCTTCTATTGCCTTTGTTACAGAACCTCAGCAATCAGTCCTACAAAGGATGCTAGTGTTTACATTCAATTCTTTAAAGAAACACACACAAAAAACCCAAAAACACCAACTCTCTGGTTTATGAATGTAGAAGATTATGCTTCTTTACCCACAATTCAAAAAGTCAGGAAATGGCCCAATATTGTGCCCATGTTGCTAGCTGGAAAAAGGATGCCAAACTTTAAATAGCGAAGGGCAGCCTGAATGTTGACAACAATAGCAGCAGTCAAGATGGTCTACAGTATGGGTCCCCAACCTTTTTCACCCCGTGGACTGGCTAGGGAAGGCACCCCAACCTTTTTCACCTCGCGGACCGGCTAGGGAAGGCGAGGCACCACCAAGCTCATGGGCATGTGTGAACGAGTGAGTGCAAATAAGCGTGTGTGCGTGAACAAACGGTGGTGTGACGCTTATGCAAGCTCGCTCACTTGTACGGCATGTGTGAACGAGTGAGTGCAAATAAGTGTGTGTGCGTGAAATAAAATGGTGGTGTGATGCTTATGCAAGCTCACTCACTCGTATGCGTGCACAAGCGGCAGCGCACGGCTCATGTGGGGTGCGTGTGCACTTGTGTGCATGCGCAAATGGTGGCGCAGCGCTCAAATGGGCCTGCACAGCATGCACAAATCAGCTGTTTGTGGATGAGTACTTGAGCAGAGTGCGTGTGCGCTTGTGTGCATGCGCAAACGGCGATGCAGCGCTCACAGGGACATGCACAGCATGCACAAATCAGCTGTGTGTGGATGAGTACTTGAGCAGGGGGCGGGAAGTCTGTCTCTGCGGCCCGGTTTGGCTCAGGCTACGGACCAGCATCAGGCCACAGACCGGGGGTTGGGGACCTCTGCCCTATGGATAGAGGGTCCTACTGTATAGTGACAAAGTTGTGAGCCTTGGAGGCAGTCAGTTTTCCAAAAGTTCATAGCAAATGTAACGTAACTATCATTGTGGCATAGTGAATTCTGCTGGTAAAGAATCTGCAAAGCAGGAGTGCTGACTGCATTGTTACAGTTTCTAGAACCAGACAGGTTTTTTTTTAAAAAGGAATGGCACCGTTGTGTATCTGCAATTTCTATTGATTTTATTCTGTAGATTGCTTCCACATGCCCTCAACTGAACCAACACAACAATACATAGCATGGTCTCTGGCTCCCTGGAGTGGCCAGTTCAGGTAAATAGTGAAAATAATTATTTCTAGATTTTTCCCCTCTTTCAATCATTTACAAAATTTCAGACCACAGATAAGTGAAAACATGGATACTCATCCAGCAGATACTGGGATCCTACTGTATGCCTAGCCTGAGAGAAACGGATGTCTACCCAACTGTCTGCAACACTTCTGCAGTAATGTCTTCAATGCTGAAAGGGAGACAGAAAGGAAGTACTTTCTGTTTAAAGACATTTTAATTGAAATCCTATTGGCACTTGCATAAGATTTGAGTAAGTTGCCATGGCTACTTGCAGCTGATTGATGAAGTGTTGGGGTACATATGGTTGACCAAATCAGGCACATGACTAGGCATGTGACCCAGACACTCCTTGACACCTTTCAATTAGCCAGGGCA